TCGCCTACGTCCTGAATTGACATGGCATGACAAATGTTTTAGAAAGCATCCCAATACGGGATTTTAAATCTAGCATTACTGGGCCGCTCAAATTATTTTTTTTTATACAGTAGAATCCCTCATATCCGGAGTGTTCCATATCTGGACATGATTCTAATGTGTATGTTTGAACTATTTTGGGTGATATGTAACAGATTTGAAATTTCTGTTTTTAAGGAAATTTACTTTGGATAATTGATTATGCTTATTTCACCCTAATGACTTGTATCGGTGCAAAAGAGGAAAGGATGACAACGAGACACATCTGCAACAAGATGGCGACGAGATGCATGATTCCAATGAAACTTGGACTGAAATTGAAAAAGCTATTGTAAAAGTTGTCAGTTTTATGGTAAGAAAGCCACGAAAGGCCCCTACTCAAAAGGTAGGTATTACACGAGGAATTATTACAAAGCGATTTAAGATTCAGTTCGAATTTCAGAGAATGTTACTTAATACGAGAGATATCTGAAGAAGGTCGGAGAATACCACGACAGAAGCATTGTGACAATAAGATAAAAAAAGCAGAATAACATTTAGAATAAATCACTGTATAATATAATTCACTGTATAATAATTCCTTATTGCAAAAATTCAAACAGGGTTTCATATCACGATTTTAGTCTTAAATCTTTAACGCCACTTCGCACTTGTTTTAATTAGAAAAAAAGATTAAAAAAATATAAACTTCAATTTTTCTAAATCTGTCTATATTTCTAAGATGAATCATCGTAATTATTTTTAAGTTGCCCGGACTGTTGTCCTCATCTTTGTTGCCAATCACCTGAAGAAGGCCGGAGCGTACAACGACTGAAACGTCGTGAATATAGCAATAAAGATGAGGACAACAGTCCGAATAATGTAAATAGTGAAAATAATTACCATACCTCCTCTCAGAAATGTGGACAGATCATGAAGGCCAGAGCGTACAACGGCCGAACCGTCATGAATATGGCAATAAAAATGAGTCCGAACAATGTAAATAATTTCTCAAAAGTATTTAAAATTGTTTTTATCAAGATATTTTCAGTCCGATTTATGTCTCGGGATTAGAGCTGCAGACACCAGGACGTACTCCTGACCCTGCCCATTATTTTTTAAACGCTACCAGCGTAAGACAATAAACAGCACCGTGATATAAACAAACAGTTTAAATGAGAAAGAAAAAACGTAACAAATTAAGTCCTACTTATTACCATTAACCGCGTCACTTTAAACGATTACTTCGCTACTTACGGAAATATAAAATGTTTTAGTTGACAAATGGCTATGAAAAGTTACTTGATTATTTATGATTAATTTGTTTAAATAATTCACTAACCGGTTTGCATTACGTGTTAATAATTGTAAGAAAAATGCTGCACTAAAATAAGTAACCAAATAATCGTTTTAAGTTTTTTGAATATCAGAACAACAACAAAAAAAAAAAGATTTGGAATACAAGAAATTCAAACAGTACCTTCCTTCCCCAAGTCTCATGTCTCTACAGGAAATAAGTGATCACCCCCACCCTATTCCTTTAATAATTAAATTGTGCACTGCCATGATTATTATTGGGAAAGGGTGGTATTCTGGTGTTTTAAATTCAAAGATTTAATGTCCACCATAAAACTGGATGTTAATGATAGCTTTCTTTCTCGCTTCCATTTTCGGACGTTGGTCCTTAATGGGTGACAGCCATGGTCTCATTAGGTCTGCTTGATTTTAAAAATTCGGACTCTAATCAGACTTTAAAAAAAATTATAAATCGACTTGTCATTTCACTGGGTTTTCCTGCTGAGTAGAAAAATGCCAGTGTAAAACTTATAATCAATGTCCTTCATTCTGTCAGTAAAGTTTGATTCAATTTCTAACTATTATTCCATTTCTTATTGATTTTTGATTATTATTTTTTTTTTATTTTAAAAAATAGCAATGCATTTACATTATACGAAATCAGATCCCTATTTTCATATGACAACATGCAGACATATTGCCCAAACTATTTAAAAACTGCAAAACTTAGTTCTCAATCGCCAAGAATATCTATCAAGAAAAAATACTTCGTTACTGCAGAAGCTTACGACATCAAAAGTGCCGAGCTGTAGTAGCGAAGAAAAAAAACAACTTTGGAAACGCTAAAACACTTGCATGTGTATGACAGATTCAAATGTTAATTTATTCGTACAATTTCTTTAGGAAAAAGTCATGTGACGGATTTGAAAATTATTTAACTTCCTAAAATATTATTTTGTTAAACTAAAGCAAGAGACATTTTACACAGGATGCACCAAATGTTTGAAATAACACCTTTATCGATTGATAAATCTGCCATATGCCAAATTTATTCTCATTTGTAGTTATTGCATAATAGGGTTACCATACTAGCAAAAGTCACACCTCTCGTTATAAACTTAAATTACAGTAGATAATTATCGTTAACGCCTTTATTTCGAAACCTAAAAAAAAAAAAAAAAACATTTCAGTCACCATAAAAAGCAGAAATAAAAAAAAATATTTTAAAGTAAAAAGAGCAAGGATTTATTGCAAAACAATTTCAAAATCTGAGAAAGATGTAGTTTTACTTTAAAGTTGCCTGCAAATAAAAAAAAAACAAACAAACCTTTGTTGTTTCGTTTCATACTTAAAATGTGTTGCTATTCTAAAAACGAAGTTACCTCCCTTTAACTTTCCTCTCGAGTTATCTGCCGATAATTAAATGGCTTTATCTTAAAACTACATTGTTAAAGAATAATTTTTTTTTTTAATCACATTCATTTTCACATTATTATTTTTTTAATTACATTTTATCGATATTTCACTCAGACCATCAACTTACAGGTAGTAGACATTGTGGGATGGAAATAAAACAATCTTTCGTAGTTTGACAGCCTGAATAAAAGATTTCGGAATCCTTTTATTCCCCTTACTAAAGTCTTCTCATTCTCTTTCACTCTCAGTAACCCATTGCATCTTAGTGACTTTATTGCCTCGCTTGGAGTGAAAATGATTTTAAAAAAAAGATGAAGTTCATTTTAATAGGTTTATCGTCACAGACATGAATTCAGGTGGCAACAGAAAATGGTTGAAAATTTCTAAATCGTATTTATCGCCTTGAATGAAAAATAAATTACTGTTTGCAACTATTTTTCATTGTAACGCTTCTAACTATTTCAATAAATAATTAACGTTTACTATTCGGAAACAGTGGCATATAAAATATGAAAATAAACCACCCAATAAAAATTATTGTACTTCCTACAGTGCACATTTTTTAAAGTACAATATTAATCACGCATCACTTATTTGATCTGTTATCCTCAGAGCGACGTTTAAGAGCCATTAGATCAAGGACACACACACATATATTTTACAGGGTGATTGAAAAGTAACTCCCCATTTTAAAATATTTATAGTTTATTAACTATAATTTTTTTACAAGAAATGGGTACAAGAGGAAAGTTTAGCATGAAGTTTTTTTTTTTAAATTCGACATGGGCATCAGATTTCTCTACCAACTTTTCCAGCCGCCCAAGAATCGCGTCAACTGATTTTACCAGGAACTCTTCTGGTATGGAATACATAACTTCTTGTATTCACCCTTCAAGTTCTTGTTTGATATAGTAGACCTGCTCCATTAACAAACCACAAAGAAAAAAGTCATAGGCTGTTAAGTCAGGACTCCTTCTTGGCCACTCATACATAAATTAGGGGATTACTTTTCAATCACCCTTTATATAATGATTTTTTATGTTGGGGTCTGTAAATTTCGTTGTGCACTGCACAGTAAAAAGAAAAATTACTATAAATATTTATAATTTTTTTTTTTTTGACCGATTTCCTAAAACGGTTCCTGGTACACGAATTTTCTAAACGCTGTTATAAACTTACTAATTATTAATAAAATGTGTGGAAATTCATCTTCCATAAACGAACATAAAAGCAAATTTCCCATTATGTTTATACCTGTAAATACCAGTTTGAATGGGACAGGTGATTTGTTGAGTCCTTTAAAAATATCTGACCGTTTCATGAAAAGAATTTTACTTTTAATTTATGATTTTTTTTAAACATCTGTCTACAAATTTATTCCCGTTAAAGTCTCGCCAATGATTTAAATACCTAAATTTAACAGGGTCGGTATTTCGCTAATTTATAGACTGCTTTAATATAGAGTTTATCATATCACGGTTAAGTCAGTTTGAATATTCAAGCGATTTCAAACTTATGAAATTCGAATGTTTGGAAAACTACATCCAAGATATTTCAAAACGGAAAGAAAGGTTCAAGTAATCCATGTTAACCAGGAGGTAAACGCTACAGAACAGCTATTCGAAATTAAATTCAAAATCTCAATATTTATTGTAAAGAAAAAAAAAAAAAGGAAAAAAGATTGCTTCGTCTTCAAAAAAAGAAGTGTAACCAATTGCTGTGCTGAAATGAAGTGGCTTTTAATAGCAAAACTCAAAATCACAGAGATAACTAAAGAAAAATGAACACTTTGAGGCATATTTCTTTTTCTTTGAAATACTCCGTCATCAATTAATCGAGCTTCGTGCTCAATAAAATGGCGGCACATAATACAAGCTTTACTTAGATGTATATGAAGTAAAAAAGTTATATCAAAAAAGGAACCAACACGCAGATACGATATAATTAAAAAGTGGTCGGAAATTTAAACTATAAATCGTTAAATGACAATTAATTAAAAGGAGCTTTTTTTTTTTTACCTGCGATATGATGTTTGGAGTTGTATTTGAACCATATTCCCGTGAGATGCCGACATGATTTTTTATTTTATTTATTTAGATATTTTTTTTCTGTTTCGATGCATAATTTTTAATAATAATAATAAAAAAAACGTTAACACGCTTGACTAATATTACTTAAAATGTTTGGTCAAACCATTCTTGAAGAAGAACGAGGGAGATTAAAACAAATGACCTTTCGTTATATCTAAATAAAAGCTTTAAAAATAATGGTCATTCCCGGAAACTTTGTAATGGGAAGGAAGAAAGAATGAGAGAGAGAGAGAGAGAAAGAAAGAGAAAATAAAGAATGAAAGAAAGATAGAGAAAAATGAAAGAAAGCGAAAAATAATGAAAGAAAGAGAAAAAGAAAGAAAAAGAAAGAAAGAGAAAAAGAAAGAAAGAGAAAAAGAAAAGAAAGAAAGAGAAAAAGAAAGAAAAAAGAGAAAAAGAAAGAAAGAGAAAAAGAAAAGAAAGAAAGAGAAAAAGAAAGAAGAAAGAGAAAAAGAAAGAAAGAGAAAAAGAATGAAATAAAGAAAGAGAAAAAGAAAGAAAGAAAGAGAAAAATAAAGAAAGAGAAAAAAGAGAAAAGAAGGAATGAAAGAAAAAAAGAATGACAGAAAGAAAGAGAAAAGTGAAAGAAAGAAGTAAAGAAAGAAAGAAAGAGAAAAGAAATAAAGAAAGAGAAAAAGAAGGAAAGAAAGAGAAAAGAAAGAAAGAAATTGAAAAGAAAGAACGAAAGAAAGAAAGAGAAAAAGAAAGAAAGAAATCAATCAATCGAGACTGTAGAGGCAGTTTATGCGGATATGTATGGAAGATAACGTTGAACTCTAGACTTGAACAGGTTAAGATTGTAGACATCGGGAAGCATCCTCTTGGGAGTCGGTCCCACAGAATAGTGGTTCGCAGGAAGGAGCTGCTTGAGTTAAACTAGAATCTCACTAATGAAATATGAATAGAATGAAGGTGGTTCACTACAATGTGCGTGGGGGATAGCGAGTCTTAACCGTGAAGTTAGAAATGGTGGAACTAAAGAATATTTATTTCCCCGAAAAACTCCAGCATATACAGAGAACTCACTGACACAGATAGAGCAAGTTTTCCGAAAATAAAAAAAAAAAATTTTTTATTTTCATACATGGTTATTTTTATACATGGTTATTTTCATACATGGTTATTTTTATACATGGTTATTTTTATACATGGTCATTTTTATACATGGTCATTTTATATTTTAATACATGGTTATTTTTATATACATGGTTATTTTATACATGGTTATTTTCATACATGGTTATTTTCATACATGGTTATTTTTATACATGGTCATTTTTATACATGGTTATTTTCATACATGGTTATTTTCATACATGGTTATTTTTATACATGGTCATTTTTATACATGGTTATTTTCATACATGGTTATTTTTATACATGGTTATTTTTATACATGGTCATTTTTCGTGATTATATTGGAGGTGCAGGTATAAATTTGCTAGCTGAAATCAAAATACATCTGAATTAGTTACGCTACATCCCATACAGGTACGCTTGGGAAAGGTAAGAATATATCTCTTTCTCCCCCAGCTATGGATTAAATAGCAGGACTGACTTTTTTATTTACTTATTTATATTTTATTTTTTTCTGTTTTCGATGCCTAAGGTTTCATAATAATAAAAGAAATCGTTAACAAGCTCGGACAATACGATTTAAAATGGTTGGTCATACCATTCTTGGGGGAGGTTAAAACAATGAAAAATATTTTAGTTATATCTAAATAAAACCATTTATATATAATGGTCAGTAAAAGAAAGAAAGAAAGAAAGAAAGTTTATTCTGGCGCGAGGCAAGTATCAAGCGTGGATCGAACTCATCCCATATACGATTTGGTCTCCAAGACGTGGGGTGTATTTCGGGTAGGCTCTTTTTCCTTGAGGTAGTAACCAGTCTAGGAGAAGGAAAGGTACATTTCAAGCTCTAGACACCCCACTGCTGCCATACTTGTAATGCCCCTTAGACTCTAATGGGTTACGGTAATCGTACCCTGACTGTTGTGAGGGAGAATATTTCTCTACACGTTTGGACTCGTCCGTCGGACGAAAGACATAAAAATACTCCGACATCAAGAGGAGTAGCAGCAGCAGCAGCTTTTGCTGAAAACAGTCATTCACGGCTAAACATTCTCTTTCCTAGTTTCTATTCTACATTATGTTTCCGTATACCAAAAGGTAATAAACTTGTTGTTAAACCAATTCCGGTTTTCTACTGTTGTTTTTGATAACTCATTTACAACACAGACATTATTATTATTATTATTATTATCCATTTTCAAATCACTCTTCATTTTGTAGGTTGTCAGCTATGTAGGCCCGCTCTAAATGTGGCTTTACATACATCCCTGTTGCTAACATTGAAACACATTATCTACCGTGCCTAACATCCACTGTTTACACTTTCTACAAGCTGCAATGAATGTTAATTTTTTCGACATGGAGAAATTCAAGTATGCGCCTTTGTTTTACACACTTTCATATCGGAAATCATTTTTCCATATTGTTGATAACTGGGAATAAATAAGGGATATTGGCAGGGAGGTTGAGCCTCATCTACCATTCTTGTGATTTTATGGAACAGACTCCCGCAAGCGCGTTTGAACTCTATCAAGGTTGGAAAGTGATCATTGGGTAGTACTCCATTTTTCGTCTGATATGACTCTTGCAATTATACCATGGTATTACCATATACCTGGTGTAACACTAAACTAATTGAGTTTCTTTTTTTCCAGGTTTTCAGATAAGACGTTTAGCCATCTTGACACTATTTTTCGTAAGAATCACCGAAAACCCCTTTGAGTCATTCAGCTAAAAAGATAGCAGGTTAAAATTGTTTTGCGTCAGACCGACTGTCTTCTCAATTAAGCAATGGTGAGACGAATCTTCAAGCCTTCAGTAATGGTACCAGCATTCAGTTTCGAAGTCCATTCAAGAAAACGGTGAAAAAAGAGAGGAAAACCGGGTCAGGATGTCACAACAGGAAGAGGGATCATCATTTCAACTTAGAGCTAAAGAGATCAATTAAAAAAGATCCAACTCAAATCATAAGACTTTTGGCACGTGAGAGGGGAGTTCCAGCTATGACAATCTAAAGAGCAGTGAAAAAAGACTTAAAAATGAAATCGTACGTGAAACCTGTGAGACATCTTGTTACTACAGGACAGAAAGTTAGAAGATTAGAGAGGGAGAATATCATTTTGAATTAGTTGTAAAATTATCCTGAAATAATATATATATATATATATATATATATATATATATATATATATATATATATATATTGGAACTTTATTTCAATACGTCATAAGCTTCCGATCTTTAACTATGATTAATTAATGATTAACATGTCATTTTCGTTTATGACCGATTTCATCACGACACTTCTGTTAAGCTTGGAGAATTATACATTCTTATTGCTCAAAGTAGAGTCCAATAGTGTTATAAAAACCTGGGAGAATTCCACGAAGATATCTTTAATCATTTCTAAGATACAACAGTTCAGAGCTTAATCTAACAATTGGACAATTTTGCTGTTACATGATTTGGACAATTTTGTTGTTACACCCAGTATATGGATTATTTTCTTTGGAGACAACCCAACGGGATATATACATCAATAAATGGCATACTATTCAACAACTCAAGAATAAGATCTGTGCAGAAATGTGAAGGCTGCAGCCAGAGTTATGATAATCATAACAATTTACTAAGCCTAGCTTAGATGTGGCACAAGGCTGAAAGTATGGAGCACCCAGCGAGGATCGATTGAACCAGTGTTATGGAGAATAATATCAGAAGAAATACGCGCGTGAAGTCGATACTGAAGGATATTTACGTCGTTTTTTTTTTTTTATAATTGAATGTGAATATATATATATATATGAAGAAAAATTTTGATAAAAAAAACAAATAAAGACCTGGTGTTGTTTAAAATGAATGAAATGTCGACGTTGACGTTTCGGTTTAATCAACACATTCAAAAATATTTAGAACCTAAATACAGTTTTCAATTTGATGGACATTTCAAAACAAGTCTTATCCAAAACAGATAACTGAAAATTTTTAAAACGATCAGCTTTCCGTCTAACATGGTCACGACGTCGTCACCATGTTAGACGGAAAAAACTGATCGTCCTAAAAATTTTCATTATTTTGAAATGAAAAAAATAAAACTTCTATTTTTAAAATTTGTCCATCATATTCAACATCAATTGTATTTTAAAAGAATATTGTACTTGAAAAAGTTTGATTAAACCGAAACGTCAGACGTCGACATTTCATTCATTTTAAACAACATTTAAGGATTTTGTTTGTTTTTTTTTTCAAAATTTTTTCTTCATTCTGTCGGATTTATATCCATTTACACTTGCTTATATATATATATATATATATATATAGTGTTTAAATTTTCATTCCATATAAAACTATTTTTGAATAATAATAAATAAAAAAAATGTTGAAATTACGGAATTTTTAAATCCGTAGTTGACTTCTAGGACACCCTGTAGTTTCTTTAAGAAAAGATTTCTTTAAGGGGAAGAAGGATACAATCACTCTGTGCACGACGACACGTTCTCGAAAATGAGAAAGTCATGTCGTCAGCTTTTGACACACAGACCAGATATAACATACTCCCAGTCATCATCATCTTCTATGTGCCATGTTCCTTCCGGACGTGGGCTATTATGGCTCTCCATAACTTCCTACCATTTGTAGCTTTTAGTTAACACTTGTCGTTTTTCTCGCCGTTTCCATTTTCCCTTCAGTATGCCCTGTGAGTGTTAAATTTTCCAACTCATACTTCCTCATTAAGTGCCCTTGAAATTTCATCTGTCTCTTTCCGATTCTAAGTGCCCTTTACGTTTCCATTTTCCTTATTTCTTCGTTGTTTACATGTCCTATACGTGGAATTCTCAGCATCCTTCTGTAGAACCACATTTCTGTTGCCTCAAGTTTTTTCTTCATCTGTAGGGAGATTGATTAGCATTCACTGCTATGCAAGAGGATTGCTAGTCATAGTGATGTGCATTGCGGTAGCATGGATATCGGCTTGGAACGAGAAATCGGAGAGCCGAGTTCGTAATTCAGTCGGGCTTTTACATTCACTTAAGTGCATATACTCTTGAAAAAAGGTATGAATCCATCTCTTCTTCCCCCCCATCAATGGATTGAATAGCAGAACAGACTGGGTTCTATAGCCTTGGTTGGCAACCAGTCTACTGCAGAAAGAAATGGCAACTTGATGCGAGAAAATCTTCTGCCTTGTCAGTCATGAATCGAAAGAGACATGATCTTCCAAGCGTCTATCGCGTATGGCACTGATCTCAGACTTCAACCATCTTTTCTTTGTTTCTAATGAAATTTCCCTAAATCTTAGTACTTTTGAAAGGCATATTTTATTATAAAAATACGCGTTCGGATTTCGATGTTACATTTTACATTATCTGTTGAAGCATTTCTTTATATTTTGTTCTCGCGTATAATAAGCAAGTTCAAATTAATCTTAAAAATCTGGGAAAACATGTTTATTATGCAAGAATAATTACCGTATTGATCAATATTTTGGTGTTTATTATGCAAGAATAATTACCGTACTAATCAATATTTTAGTGTTTATTATGAAGAATAATTACGTACTGATTAATATTTTAGTATTTATTATGCAAGAACAATTACCGTACTGATTAATATTTTAGTATTTTTTATGCAAGAACAATTACATTACTGATTAATATTTTAGTGTTTATTATACAAGAATAATTACCGTATTGATCAATATTTTAGTGTTTATTATACAAGAATAATTACCGTAGTAATCAATATTTTAGTGTTTATTACACAAGATTAATTACCGTGCTAATCAATATTTTAGTGTTTATTATACAAGAATACTTACCCTACTAATCAATATTTTAGTGTTTATTATACAAGAATACTTACCCTACTAATCAATATTTTAGTGTTTATTATACAAGAATAATTACCGTACTAATCAATATTTTGATGTTTATTATGCAAGAATAATTACTGTGCTAATCGATATTTTAGTATTTATTATGCAAGAATAATTACTGTACTAATCAATATTTTGGTAGAACTTGATATCGATTTCAAGCACTTCCAATTAGGAATTTGAACATGACACAATCTTCCGACTATTTCTCGATCTAAAGGCTAAATATATACCCCAATATATGTTTAATGAGCTGATCCCAGTTTGACATAATCCATACAGACAAATATGGATCGTACTTACTATTCCGTCGTAATGTTCCACTAAACTATCTCGTTAACCATTACCTCACTCCGAGGCGCCCAGATTGTGAGAGAATGCCAACTAAATAAATTTTGTTTGCTATTTGTCGTTCTTTAATTTTTCTTTCTCAGTTCTATCCAAGACTGTCTTTGTGTTTGCAGAGAAAAAAAAACTCAAGAATGCTCATCCCTATCTCCATACCTGCAAGGGGGAATTTAGGCAACTCCTACACACCAAAAGTTCAGGAGTTATTTTCGTCAAAACTCGCACTTGTGTGTAACTAAACACCAATATAAGAGAATCGTTGTCTCGACTCCATTGCGAGGGTTCGTAGGCGTGCCGGTGAGTAAACGTTTCTGCAACTGAGTTCGTCTGGTCACAACACACTGATGACATACGCATGCCGATATAGACATTTACTACCGGGGCTTAATCAGATTTTACAAGTATTTTAAAACCGCGTCTCTCAGTCCACGAACAAAAAATAATGTGGATAATCACTTATCCAAGAACATGGATGAAAATTAGGCATCTTTATTTATTTATTTCACTAAATGCTCGCCACATAAAAAGCCCAAGAGCCACTCAAGGTAGAGCTTTAATAAATGAAGTTGTTGTATGGACTGAGGAGGGGAAGAGTAAATGCACATTATGAGGATACGTGCGATAAGTAATGGTTAGCCCTAAATTTGAAGAAATTAGGATTGTTGTGTTCAGGGAAACACCTTCTCGGCAGTCTGTTAAATGCAAAATAAATAAATAAAGAACTAGAAAACATGGGATTTTTTTAGTTTGTTCTCACTAAAAGTATGGATCCATAATTTTAAAGTACGGAAACCTAAAACAACAACAACAACAACAACAACAAAAATTCTTTAATTTTTTTTCTCGGTGAAAAAGAGCGAAAAATCCTGTATCTTTTTTTTTTTTTTTGACGCAAGTGTCCCACCATAAACGAAAACCCTGATGCAAATGACAGTGTATTGATGCCTGACAAAGAAAGAAAAGTGCAGAACCTTCTAGACAAAGTAGTAAAAGAATGCGAGAAGCAAAGACTAAACGCAAATTTTAAGCCGAATGTATGATCATAGCGGCTTGGATTGAGGAATCAGAGAGCCGATTTCGAATTCTAGTCAGATCCATTATATTTACTTACGCGCTAATACCCTCGGGAAAAGGTATGAATCCTCTTCTTCTCCCTCAAGCCATGGGTAGATAGCAGAACAGACTGGGTTCTATAGCCATGGGTGGCAACCGGTCTAGGAGAAAGTAACTCTGAATTCAAAACTGTATATAACCCTTGCGTGAACATACTATAGTGCTAAAGGAAGAATCGTTCGCATTAGGTCGATGATCCTGACTACGATCGAATGATGATGATGATGATGATCCTGACTACGATCGAATGATGATGATGATGATGATGATGATGATGATGATGATGATGATCCCGACTACGATCGAATGATGATGTTGAACCTAGCACGAGGGATAGCTCAAGATGCAAGCTTCGAATTGAAGACATCAAAATCAAGCACCTGGGGAGTGTTATAACTGACGATGGAAAATGTGATACAGAAATCCGAATGTGCATTGTAATTAGTGAAAGATGTCTTCCAAAAGCTAAGCAAAAGAAAAAGAAACAGGAAACTTGCACCAGAATCAAAGAAAAGTGCCTTGAACTGTTATATAAAAAAATCCCCCTCTATATCAGGGAATGCGAGAGGATATCCTTATAGATAAAAAAGAGACTTGAGGTAACAGGGATGTGGTTCTACAGAAAGATGCTGAGAATACCAAGGGCGGTAGATGTGATCAACGAGGAAGTTTCAAGGAAAATGGAAACAAAAAAAGATGTCTACTTAAAATCAGGAAGAGACAGCTGAAATTTCTGGGGGACATAACGAGGACAAACGGTTTGAAGAATTTAACACCCACAGGGCATACCGAGAAGGATTGACGAGGGACAAAAATTGTTAAGCGCTACAAAGAATGAGAAGTTGTAGAGAGCCATGATTTCTCATGTACTGAAAGGGACACAGCACAAAAGAAGACGAATCCTAACTCCAGCCCTAATTTTAAGTCTAAACCTTAACCTTGGCGTGGGGAACTAACGAAATAGACATAATGTATCAATTCCTACAGATTTTAGTCTGGTGGAATCTAACGAAATTTTATGTTACAAAGTTTTCTTCTTTCTTTTTTTTTTTGAAACTTTTGATGGCACTAACTTCTTCTGATAAAGCTGTAGACATGTGACAAACTGACCGATCTGAAACGGAATTAAACTCTGTAAAAGACTGTTCGGAAGAAAGGCTAAAATATTTTGGTATTAAAAGATCAAAATGATGTTAAAATTTAACTCCAAAATAACACCTCGATTTGAGTTTCTCATTAGTGAGAAAAAGGAAACTAAAACTAAATACTTTTTAATAATCTTTTTGACCTTCCGTACATTAAATTTATAGCCGTTAGATTTAAATGTAAATGAAAATAATGAAAAAACCTGGAAATCTTTATTCGATTCTTATTTTTTTTTTCCGATTGTGTTGAACAGTTTGTGTTGAGGTTTAATCTTTGTTCCCTGATTGGGTTTCCGGCTCCTTCTCAAGTCTATTTCAACTCTATACTTCTAAACATCTTCGCCTGAACCATGAAATGTTTTACATTAATTATTTTTTTATCTTCCCCTAATAAGCTTAGATATACTCGCCTATCGTCCGGTTTATACCCTCCTGATTTTTAAAAAAAATCCTGTTTAGGATTGGGTTTCCGGTCCCTTGAACTCTCGACTTCTGACGTCTCCGCCTGAAATCTGAAATTTTATTCTATAACTAGCAGCATGACCGGGCGTTGCCCGTGTTTGATTCAAAAATCGTACGACTCATACAGCAATCGCTATCACTTGACTTTTGCTTCTTCCTTGCCTTTAAAGAAGTGCCCTTTGCGTGCTGATGTTGCTACAGGCCTTACTTCTTGCCTATCTCACACTGTGAATTTTTTCTAAGCTCTATACTAAACATTAAATCTGTTACGAAAAAAGAACTAAACAAAATGAACACAAAACGATCAGCTTTAAAAAAGGACTAGTAACTGGAAAAACTGAATGAAAAAAGAATGTTAACAACAAATACTTTTTCACATCCAACCCAGTTCTGCGGAATCAGAAACAACGTTGAGTTTAAGCAAGTGAATGAGCCAATTGGAGTAAAGTGCCATGCAGATTTAAATTTTTCCCACTTGTGACGAATACAGCTATCGATTTTTTTTGCATGCTAGCATGCTAGTTAACATTCGTGTCAGTCAGCTGTTGGCTCTCATGCTGGCCAATAGAATCTTCCTGCCTATTCGTGGCAGCTGTTACTCTGACCAGTAGAAAATGACCGCAAACTACATGAAAACTGCCGTATAAGCATGAAAAAGTCGATTATTTCCACTATCGATGGGAGATGGGAAATGCAAAGTCGGTCTAGGCCTTCCCGCTAACTTGGAGCATGTGCATGTAAATTTTGGTGCAAATCCGTCGAAAAATTGCGGCCATGCATTCGTTACACACACACACACACACACACACACAAACACACACACACACACACACACATCCTGCCTTTTATAGATAGAGATTATTATTATTTCCTCTCCCAATATAAGTAGACAGGTTTGTCTATCGTCTGGTTTAGACTTCTAGATCTTTTGAACTGGAGTAGAGGTTTATTCTTTGTTTTCTGTTTAGGGTTGGGTCTCCAGTTATTTTTAAAGTCTAATTCAACGTTGTATTTCTAATGTCGCCGCCTAAACTCTGAAATTTTATTTGCTAATTAAATCTTGACCTTTTCATGTCTAGAATTAGCCGTCTATCTTCCTGTTATCTTGCACTTTCTTACGCTAATACAATTCCACACAATAACCATCTACCTTGAGTCGCTCTTGGGCCTTGTACTGGTTGAACGTTAGCAAAAAATAAATGTTCGATTGCAAGTGGATTCGAAACCAATTTTGTTGAAAATCTTGCGGCAGCGATAGAAATACCTGAAGAAGACACTTTGAAAAAACCCTTTACAAAATTGGAATTAGCAGAAGTTCTGGATCATCATCATCAGCAGCAGCAGCATCAATCCCACCTGACCACCTCCCTCCACATATCTGGGTTGAAAGCCGGAGAAATATTTATTCATGCGTAGCGTGTCTTGGGCAATTAGACCTGGCGGACCCCTATCCATCTACAGGTCAAAGCGTAGTCGATGACCTTCAACTTGTAGGGCCGCTTTGGTCAAGGAAACGCTCCGCCCTGGCTGTTGATCTCAGTCTAGGAAAGCCCTCTGTCCAACGAGGCTGTATACATAACTATGAATGTGCGAAGGAACCTTTTTGTAGTGTAATCAAAACTCCCAGCTTGCTGACTTTTCTTATTTTTTGATTTTAATCGGTATCACCCCAAGTAAGACAGTAAAGCCACTAAGACACAAGGGGTTACAGGGTGTGAAAGATTTAGAAACAGAAACATTAATAATGAGCGAAAAGAGAAAAGAGTAATCAGGACAGTAGATAGCGATTGACATTGCACTTAAATTTTTGAAGATTAAAATTGGCCGGAAAGCATGGAGGCGGAAGGGTGTTCCACAAGCGAGAAGTACGAGAAAAGAGACCTTTTAGCATAGAAGTTACGGTTAAATCTAGCCAGCTCAGCTGTAAATTGATGAGAATTCGACACCAGTCTAGTGCTGCGCTTAAATTTATAAAGTCTAGTTACCATAGCGAAGAGCAATATTTATTCTGTCATCTACAGAAATGTGGCACAAGGCCGAAAAGGGGATTGGGGAAAGGACGGTCTTCTTCTGTCTTAACTATAACTTAGCTAGCCGCAAGCACTGACCCAATCGTACAAAACAATATTCCTTACACCAAAACAACACATCCATACGTACCTTTCTTACTACAACCACCATAATACCTCTTTGACTCTATGAAAGTACTAACTAGTCCCCATATTTACAATTCGATGTCTGTGGGGGGAGAGGGGAATAAAACAACAATTCTAAAAGTTAACCCCAATGAGTACCATAGCGAAGAGCTCATCGAAACAATTACCATAAAAGGATTTATAGAAAAGGCACAGGGAGGCAACCTTACGGCAGTGGGAAAGTGACTGAAGCCGAGCTGCCAAATCAGGACCAATAATATTGCTGATTCTTCTTTGGAGCTTAAGTGTTTCGATATGGTAGATTGTTTTCATCATCATCATCATCATCATCAATCCCCGAGAAATTTGCCATGGATTGCTTTCCACTAATGCATTTAGATTTTCATAATCAAAGACCGATGAATTCCCAAGTCTTGGTTCATCTGTCAATGACGTTTCTCCAGGAAGAAATTTTGCGAACCAATTTCGCTATGAT